TGGGGAGTCTTTCGATTTCGAATGGATTTTTGAATTCTACAGTATCCCCGGCATCACTCGCAGATATCAGCGCCGCTGTTGCACCAACCACTTTAGCTTCTAAAGTCAATGCTCTATGGATTGCCAGTCTCATTTTCAGTCTCGCTACTGCGGCTATCGCCATCGTCGTCAGGCAATGGCTACGAGAATATCTTGTTCATCCTACCGGCACACCTCGACAACTCGCTCGTATCCGGCAGCTCCGTTACAACAAACTACAATCTTGGGGGGTCCCTTACATCATAGCGACCTTACCGGTGCTTTTGCAAGTCTCGCTCGCTCTCTTTCTCATCGGGCTTCTGTATCAACTCTGGGATCTGAATAATTCTGTGGCTATTATTGCAACAATCTTCACTGCTATGACTCTTGCATTCATATTTGGGACTTCTCTCATCCCCGGAATGATCTTGGATTGTCCCTACCGATCACTACAGGCCTACTTGGTCGGGATGACATTACGATCCCTAACTGGCTGCTTCGTACTCCTCATTGTGGCATTTTTAATGATCCCATTCCTTCTCCTTACTATGGCATCTGCTCGATCCAAAAGGGTCGTAGAGCGTTTCATCTGGAACCCATTGGTGAATATCGCTCGATTGATATTTTTCACCGATCAACCAAGGAGATGGAATATATCCTTCGATGATTGGAAAATCCTGGACACAATGATGGATCATCGTACTACAGAAACCCACTCACAATTGGAATTGGAAGTTATCACAAAGGTCGATGAAGCTTATAGGGGAGATGACATTAGGTTAGCACAGGCTATGGCAACTTGCATTGGGGAGATGAACAACGTCCAAGCTGCGAATTGTCTTGTGTCCATTCTTTCGTATCCTCGAGGCGGGCATGGGACATTGAATATCTTATTGCCTAATGTGATCTCAGCACTCGAAGGCTTGAATTTGAAGGACAAAGGGACGACCAAACGGATACTCAGGATCGTCAATAGAATTAACAAGACATTCAAACACAAATTCATATATCCCGATCGCAACATTCTTATTGAATATCGTCGTATCCAGCGAGGAATAGCGGAACGCCTTGCACATGACATGCATGACACCTGTGAAACTATTCCTCACGACCCAACAGAGCCTATCACCGAGATGTTATACACGCTCAACAACTCATTGATAATCTCGTGGTTCTACCGTGAAACCCAAGACATGGTTTTTGACCTCACTGGTGCGTGCTATCATCCATAATCTCAGATTGGGAACTGACAGACAGATATTTCAATCAGTGTTCAATGTCTTGACTCATACCTTGACAAAGTGCCCTTCCTCTCGGACCAGCGCACCCGTCTTTTACACCAGTTGTCGCCAAGCTATTAGACTCACACTTCTCCCTAACATACCTGAAGAAGACTTACCCACTATCCGTCAATCTATTGGTGAACTATTCGACACCTTCGAATCATGTTTGAAGAAGAATGGTCTATGTGACCATGATGGGACACTATATCTCCTAGAACTCTGCTACATCCCATTCCTTGTCGGCCTTTTCGACGATCTAGACGCTTTCGTGAATCGTTATCCAGATTTCACTGAACGTATACGGAAACTTGTCGGTATTCTTGTTGACCGAGTTTCTAAAGATGTTCCAGACACTTGTTCACCATTCCGTGACACCAAACCAAGATTCATAAATTACCTAGAGGAGGAACACGATTTGATTCGTCATTCAGAGAAGAAGCTTATAATGGAGAAAGGCAAGGAGTGGAAACTCAAATTGGACTCTTCACTGGGACAGGTTTGTACCATATCGATAGACAAACAGAACTCAATTGTGTTGGATGGTGATATCGAATCGCAGTGTAGTCCTAAAAAGTGCGTGGATTCAGTTTTTTTTATTACTTTGTAACCTTCTACTTATTGCGACGAAAAGTGGAAGTTGTGAATAGACAGTCATTGGGATCATCTCCGAGTTTTCCATACTCATTGTGTTTTGTAACGCTATGGTCGCCGATGACAACGAGGGAAGTCATGGCATTCTTCAAGTTCGAACAAAACAGCTTTTCCGATGCTTCAGCCACGCTATATATCATCTCTCTCGGATTGAAATCAAACGATATGGGGCGCCCTTTTCCAACCTGATGATATAGATGCAAAAATCAGAAAATCGCCATTTTCGAGTTGACGAAATCCACGAACTTTCGCGCATGCGCCTAAGAGCTCCTTCAGTCGATGCGCAGTTTGCCACGATCTCGAAGACCCAGTCCTGTGCTGGTCTGGTTTTTTTTGGTTCAATGACTTCAAACACACCTAGTACCTTTCATTGTCACATCATTCGGACTCCAATACATTCAAGGCGGCTATGTACGAGTACATACTTTTTTTCATAACTTGTAGCGTACCTATATGATGCAATACTATACATGTTGAAATCGAGATCATCTTTTCTGAACAATCACGACACAACACCAGTGGTTGTGAATGTAAATGAGTAAACAGGGCGCCGGACGTTACAGGGAGGATCAAATCATCCGTCTCTGAAATGCGCCAAGTCTTGGAACCAAGTTCCTTCAAGTACGCATATTTGCACTGTATTCCGTCGAATTGGACTCTTACTAATCTTAAATCACACAATACTTAGACAAACATTATAATATTTTGTACGTCGTCGACTCGACGATGAATAACTGACAGTGATGCATTCGATCGTTCAAGGGCGAGTGGAAAGTAGATCTGCAGGATAGAGGCATAGAAAGTGGGTGATAGAGCTAATGCTTTCAGTGAAGATCACATACAAAGACTAAGAGGATACCAAAAAATCGAAGGAGAAGATGAGAACGAATTAAGCATCGTCTTCCTCATCTTCGAAGCCTTCAAAATCCTTGAGATCGACGATCTCCAAAATACTGCAAAGCCGTGGAAGCTTATACTGAATGTCACTGATCTCCATCGCAGATGTTGACCTCGACCGATGTAAATTACATGGCGTCCTGAAAAACCGAATATGCTTCAAGTCCTGTAACTCGAGAAACTCATTCTGTAACGTATCCCAGTCGACGAAGTTCACGAACGTTTCCACTTCCTCATCAGAGAGACATATGAGGATGTTAATGTCTTGAACAGTTCTTGAAATGGTGGAAATTAATTCGGCAGGATAACGGCATAAAAGTCGACCACGTCCGTCGAGAATGGATTCGGGCTGATAGATCCCCAACAAAGCATACCTCATATTGAGCATCAACTTCTTCAACGATGCAAAGCGGAAGAGGTCAAGCTGACTCCAATCAACAGGTTCAACTGATGACAACAATCAATGAGAGAATTACACAGGAAAGTACATAATTGACTTACCTCCCACCCGAGCATCTTCATACATCCCCGTAGGATCAATCCCAAAACATTCAAGATCAGCATTGACCTCCCTCAAGAGTACAATAGCTTCTTGAAATTGCTGCAAGGAAGCGCAGCCAATCCAGAGAAAAGTTATGGCGCTATACGAGACCGGAGAAGAGTTGAAATGCAAGGTGGAAAATGCGAAACGATGATAGAAATTCCACAACAACTCCTGTTCATCGGTCAACTCGACTCGACTAGGGTACTCTTGAGAAAATTGGATAGAGGACCGATGCGTAGGAGTACAAGTGAAGCTAGTATAGCCTGCAAAGAGGCTGATAACCTCCTTGAACGAAGAAGCGTAATCCTCATCTGCTCCTATATCTGAAATATCCAGACGTTCTAGCTGTACAGGGAACGGTTGTTTAGGTGGATGAGACAGCTCTCCCCCAAAATGCTTGAATGCACAAACGTCACTTGAAGTTTGAACATTCGAAGCAAGGAGCGAACTCGAGCGGAGCAAAGACTTGAAAAATTCTTCCACGTTTGATGTGAGGCGCTATGGGAGAATCGAGCATTCCTGATGGTGAGACTCCGTAAATTGGGTAACTTCTCTAGTAATCCCCGAAATAGGTGAGAACATATCATAGGTTTTTGGTGTGGTTTTCCCCAATGGTAATCGCAATAAACAATGAGGTTTTTGATGTGCTTTGCAACGCCTTCGAAACGTTCGAGATCATCCACAGTAGCTAAAAAATCTTTGACTCTGGTGATTGTGATCGTGAAGTCATTGTATAACTGAGATCGACAGAGATCGAGCCATGCTGATGACACAAGACAGCATTTCTTTAAAGTCTGACGGTCATCGTTGAAAAGAGAGACGATATGGATTATGAGTTCGGGGGGAAGTTGTTGGGCCTCTTGACGGAATGTCGGTTCTTCATTAAGGCGAGGGTTTTCTTTGGACTTGATAGAGTCGAAAGTTGCTGATATAACGTATCTGAGATTTCGCCATTGGAATGAATGTCTCATTGGGAAGTAAAATGGGTTCTGATATTGCATTAGCTTCGTCCAGTGGCGTCGGTTCCAGAAGTAAGTCAAAGGTACTTACAATACTGCCCCAATTTTCCAAGGTCGACACCTTGATAAGCCAAACTCTGAAGAATGCTTCCCCGTTGGACGCGAATGGCCAGGATGCAACTAAATGCAAGACTTTTTGTACGCCTCATTCGGGCTGTGCTAACAGCATTTGTGTGACAATCTGATTATTTTCAGGACTTTCCGTGCCCAACATGACAGTACTTGTCCACAACTGAGATGGCGTATACATATGTCCTTTTCCTAAGACTGTGATATAAAAAGGCTATGAAATATGACTCACAGGTTTCTGAACGTACAGTGCATCATCCTGTAAGTACCTGGTCAACGTTTAATAGTGGAGGAAAGCAAGGAGGGATTATCCAGTGTTCCGCACGAGAATCATCTCGGAAGTGAGTATCCTAGATTTGGTCAATTCTCGTTCAAAGTTGTTAGAAGAGACCAATAGACGTCAATGCAGATTATTGCCGGGATCACACTGTACACTTGCAATTGAACGATTCAAGCAAAACATCATTCTGAATTGGTGAATTTTGATGATCTATTACTAATTGATATTTGGGTAATAACGGTGCTATAGTGTAGTGGTTATCACTCGGGATTTTGATTTGATTAAAGTGGCTTTCCCGAAACCCAGGTTCGAACCCTGGTAGCACCTTGATCTGCATATTTGGTTTTGATTTTTTCTTCACTTCACCGTCGGACATCGTACTGTGTTGCTACAAAAGTTGTACTGTAATTTTCAGAAATTTTTTGCACTTCTTGTCGGAAAAAAATCTGCGTAGACTTTTATGGCATTGTCTGCAATGTGTAAATCTAGAAGTAATACTTTCATTCACATCAACTCATTTCTTCCTCACGTGAATTCATATTGTAATACTCTCGTTCATGATATCTACATACCAACAAGATCTGAAGATTTTGTCATGCTGGCAATTTATTTTCGCACTTTATTCATCATCAAGCTCCACCTGACAAGTCCAGTGCACGGTGCATCACCGAACGTCGGAAAGCTGTCCTTTCCAGCTTTCTATTGGGTCAGAAAAACAACGGCTGCTTCTAGGAAAACTTCGTAGTAGGAAAACGTCACCAAGTTGTCGTAATATCTTCCACTGCTCCTTCCTCAGGCCAAGCAACCAAATCCTTGAATGATCCCATGATGACCACCTACGATAAACCTGTCAAAATTCAACCCGATTGCCCTACCTTTCTGAATCGGAATGTGTGTCAAGACGTGATTCGTTAAGGATATGGTGAACCTTGCAGGATTCAGACGTTCACCATATCTTTCTGCATTCTTACACTGTGGCTTCTTTAAGATCAATCACTTCAACGAACATCAAGCCGTAAAGATAGTAATGATAATCTGAGGAACTTACCCTTCAAGAACTTTGCGGTGAAATCCGAGAATCTTCAGAGTACTATGGCAAGTCTAGTAGCAATAAAAAGACAAAAGCCACCGTCGTCTCATTTCATATTCTTGCTATTCGACCGTGCGGATCTAAAAAAATTGGGGCAGGACAAGGAGAAGAGAAGAAGAAAGATCACTAGTCACTTACTTTGGCTAGGTTCAAGCGGGATTGGCCGTACGAATTGCAAACGTGTCGAGGGACTGTACCACTATAAAGAGACAAACCTTCAGCTTTTCAGAGTAGTATGTCGGGATTGCGGGTCCGATCCTGTTCAGACGGGATGCATTCAATAAGGTAAATCACGACCCGACGAAGTAAGATATACCGACGAGAAGGAGGGAGAGTTTAGCCATGTGAATGATTGGCCTGTTTAAAGAGCGATGATCGTCTTCATTCCTTCCAAGTGTGGGTATACGGACTGTGATAATAGTTATAAAGCTAGTGTGCTGAAGAGGTTATCAGTACGCAGCCATCGCAAAACGTCAGAGGTAAATGGATATAGCACACCTATGGTCTTTATACCATCGTATTCAACACGCTAGTCTTCCCATTTATGCGCCAGTTGAAACAAGAACAACAAGTAGATTGGAGTGTCTCGGTAGTACTAGTAGTACTCCCCACGTACAATAAGCTCTGCTCCCATAGTAAGAACCACCACACAAACCCCGCATCTACAACAACGAAGTTACGAACAACCGAGATGCTGTTAAGATATTCCGGTACCTCGATAAACATATGAATATAGTTGACTGACTTACAACTCGCATCATTCGTTCCGAAAATTTCGCCATAAAAGTATGATCAACGTTTCGTTGCTAACAGGAGTTGTTGTTCATTATGTTCTTGTAATATCTTTGTTCCCCGCTTAGCTATGCGAAGGTATCGAAAGTTTGGAGACGGTGTCTATTTCTTATCGGAACGGTGAGATTGGTATTAGTTTTTAGCATGTTTTTCCGGAAATGGTAAGATTGTACGCACTTCGAGAGAATAGCAATTGGTACAAGATTATAATAACCTGCCGTGATTATGCTATGGTGGGGATCGAAGTTCGCAGCTTTACAGGCTTTATTGATGGTGCGAACCTTGAGGCCTTAGGTAGGGCTATTCGAGCCTCGAGGTGAGAAAGATGCTCGAGTGGTTTGTTGAATCCTGTACAAACAGCGTGATAAGAACGACCAATGCGAATCAACCCAAGTACGAGCTCACAGTAAGTGCGAGTTCTTACTTTATCTCTTGGATATGCTTGCTGAACGCGCGAGTCTCAAAAGTCATCTGAGTATCTCGCCGCGGCTGAGCTGGCAGATCCAATACGAAACATTCGGATGGTCTATACATTGTCAATGGATTCAACGACAAGTCGATTGAATGGATTTTTGACTAGAATGAAGATTCGATCTACCGGTACCTGCTCGCATACAGAACGCAAAACTCCGTGCAGTCAAAAGTTCCCTAGCAAAAGAAGGTTACAGTTATCTCGACACTCGCCATAGTAAAAGCTATCGTAAACACGACTTGCCATAAACAGAGATCAACGGCCAATCTTCGATAATCTTCGCCAAATTTTGAGATATAGGTATTGGCAATTTTGATTGTAAGAAGTCTGGTTCAGGTTCATCATGTAGAAAATGAGACGCAAATCCCCACTGTATGTGGACTCTGCCGCAATCTACTCACTCAAATCCTTATCTAGGCTGTGCATGCTGAGTATTCAGGTGTTTCTGGAATGTTCTCCGTAGGGTACATATGAATTGCGCCGATAACAATGTCACCGAAACAAATCACTGGATTGTCAGGAAAAACCCACAATATATGCACGTATGTTCTTGAGAGAGGTAAAAGCCAAGATCCTGATGTTTATCAAATGAGTGTAGTGTGTAGAGCAAAGTACATCAGACCTCCAGTATACGTACCTAGTGAAGCCAATCTTATTGAGCCATTTCCCATCCGAGGATATATTAGCATCAGAACGGGCTCTCTATAGAGCCCTTTATTTCAAAAATAAAAAGCTAGCGAATACGCAAAATGCGCTAAGTCTTCTCATACGCATCATGGGGCGTAACTTGAACAACGTACAATGAGTTTTCAGCTCTAAAAGGCTTAGTATTGCGTCGTCGCATAGGCACCACTGAAATTTCCGGTGTGGAGAGCAGCTCCAACTGTCACTGAAGCGGGTGAAACAGGACCGTTGAACGTTGAACGTTGAACCTTCATCGGCATCTGTCCCTGATCTCGTGTAGTCTCGGTGCGAAAAATTAATACGGCGACAAGTGCCAATGAGCAAATAAGTATGCCGCAACTTGAAAAGCAACTTACAGAAACAGGTCTGCCAAATTTCTGCCGAAAGGACCAATCGGTTTAGATAGTATTCTAGGATGCACGAGCCTTGAATCATAGTACCATGAGGCATCACGTATCTTCGAATCTTGACCAGTATCAGGCTATGTAGAGTTACTGCTATCACATGTCGCTCGAACTTGAAGCTCGAATAATGAGCACGAATGTGAACGTGCACCCCTACTGTGGCCTACATAGGGCAGTAGTGTGGTGTTTGGGTCCGAGCAGAGATAGTAACCAAACATACCTCATACCGTGAAAAAGACCCGGTAAACCTGGGCTACACTAGTGTGTGATATGGATTCTGAACCTAGTGTTTCTATGTAGGTGTATCGCATGGGTGTAACTTGAAGCGTCGTCCGGTCACGGTAACAAGTGACAAAAAAGCAAAGGCCACAACAAGTTTAGTGATCGAGCTTGTTAACTTTGGCTAACAAAGAACAAAAAAAGATCGACGTGCCGTCTCGACAGTGCGCATTCCGATCCATACGTTTAACAACTTCTCTGTGTCACTGTCAATACATAAATTCAACTGAGCCAGTACTGGAACCTTCGTGGAATTTGCATACCTAACCTTGGAACACGGTACTAAGTATGACGGCCGATCTTCAATATGGGAGAATGGATCAACGGTGAATTTGTTGTATCGCCCTTCGTGACTTACAATACGAAAAAAAATGTAAAAAATGTAAAGTTGGAAACTGCCCACCGGTCGAGGCTTTTGATTCCATGCAAGGTTCCACTTGGATCACGAGCGTGGATAGTACTCGCCCAACTCTCAGATGAAAGAAAAAACGCACTGAATAATTTCACAAAATCAGTTCGATCTTCTTTTGACAGGAGAACAGCTTGAAAGGTAATCCTACTGTGCACTTCAACCAGACCGGCGGTGTAAAAACGTCTCAACCAATCTATTGGGCATAGTAGACTATGCTTACTCGCTCCTTGCGCAGTATTCCCCTTGGTCCTTTACGATCATGGATATCTAATAATAAGATAAGCGTTAGAAGAATAACGTGCGCAGTAAGGCCCATACTAGTACGAACGTTCTCTGTTAAGACTACGATGCCGGAGTTAGTTCAAAACTTCATTGCACCCGCATTGCGTATGTTCGTCTTAGAATAGTCTGTGGACGATCGATGATCAGGGAGAGGTCAGAAAATCTTCTGCGCAGTGGTTTTGTATTAGACTATTAAGAAAACAGACGATTCCAGGTTTAGAACATATTGGGAACGTTTGACCATAGATACTACAGGTTGGGCTTACCTTCAAGCTTAGGCTGTGACGTCACTGGCAGAAGAAATGAGTCTTTGAACTGAATCGAACTGAACACTGTCAAGTACTTTGCTCTTGCACTGCATGTTATACGACCCTCGATTTTTCAATTCGGAATCAGTTCACTTTGATTTCCGAGTCCGTTTTGTCCCTCAGTCTGTCCATCGTTACTTTCTTCTCCAACAATGTTGATTTGACCACACTTACATTTTTGATTTCAATTCATTTCCGTCCTCCGTCTCCGTCCCCATCCCCATCGACAATGTCAACCAGATGCCATGTTCTCCGTCACCGTCTGATTTTAATTGTAAAGACTCACCATTCCTTTGTCAAGACTTGAAGGAACTTGACCGGCTCCATTCGGATCTCCATTCAAGTCAAACAACCCATAAATTGACACATCATCCGAGTCTTGTTTCTGTTCGAACTTCGGTGGCCGTTGAACGTCGAAAGCGTGAATTGACAAGTCACATTTGATCCGCAGGTTTAATACAGATATCACCTCGATAATCAAACGGATTCCAAATCATGAACGCGGCAATGGAGTGTGACGCTCGAAGCATGAAGTCCGTAGCCCAGTGTATGATACGTTGAGGTAAATTGTTGAAAGAGATGTTGATCCTATAGCTAAAGAAAG